ATTATTGCAATTGTATATTATAAAACCTTATAATATAATTATAAAATATATTATTTCAAATATTTGAACATTTGATCTTTCATACACAAAATATTTTCAACATAATATTATGATCATTCGGCTTGTTTACATTTGAACTTATGAGTTTGGAGAAACAGTATTTAAACTGGTCACCTGCTCCCTAAACATTGAACTACACCTTTTGTAATAATATGTGAATACATAAAAAAGTTTTATATTTAAAAGGAAAATAATAACCTTTTATTTAACGGTTATAGTAAATTTGTTGTAATTAAAAAAAAAAAAAATAATAATAATAATAAATTATATTAACAATTTTAAACTTTTCACCATTACTTCTTATATTCAGGTAATTATCAATAATTTTAGATATTATATTTTATGATATTTGTATTAAGTATATATTGATGAAAAATTATTAAATATACTTTTTAATTCTTTTCAGTATCGTTGTACTTTCGTGTTCAATCGATAATGATTTGATTTACGCAATTAATCACCGTTTATTTTTTTTTAGATTTGAGTTTTATTTATTTATTTATTATTATTATTATTTTTTTTTTTTTTGGTAGATTTGATATTCATTTTAATGTATTTTATTTGATAGAATCTTTTATCAATATTTACGTTTGTTTAAAACTAACTGTAATTAATAACTCATTTGTAGCATAAGTAGTCAAGCTGATAAGTAAAAATTAGTATAAAGTCATTAATTTTGATCTTTCAAATCAATATTATGCCATATTATAACGTAAGAGTGAAATAGTTGGAGCAAAAAATAGGATAGAGTTAAAACATTGTGTTTTATCGTTTCACGCTGATATGACATAACAATAATAACAAAACATAACTAAACCATTCTCCGGATTTAAATTTGCAGAATAAATTTAACTAAAATAAACGGATAATTAATATAAAGTTTTACATAGTCGTAAGGACGACGCGTTATTGGTTTATATATCACTGAAGCAACTTGGGTATTAGGCCTTTACCAATTGCCGGATGAAAGTGTATTCATCCGAACTGATATGCGTATATGTAAAGATAATTCCACGCCAACAAGATCATTGAGGTGTGCATTATCAAGCAAATTTTACAAATCCAATTCAGTGATTGGACTGAATCCAATCTTAAAGGAGTGTTTTTACGGAGGAAAAAATATAGTATCCTACAATATCCTTCGAAGACGACATTTGCAGATAATCTAATTAATTAGTCGAGTTTCGGTTGATCACGCTTTTCTTCTAACGCTTCACTACATAAACATTCAACGAGACCACTCAGTCGGAAACCATTTATTTTAACTTTTTAATAGTGCATATTATCCCCATTCATGATACACATTCTATAAACACAATAATCTATTGTGATTCTATTTGTATTTATATATTTAATATTTGATTATTTCATGTATTTTGTATACATTTTTTATGCATTATCAGACATATTTTAATTATTGTCATACTAAAAAATAGAATATTACAAGTATCTTAAATAGTTTATTGTATATTTAATATTATTTATACATTATTATACTTGGTGTATATTATATGAATATAAAATATAATTTTTAATAATATCTACTAAATATATCCATCCCAATTTTCAAAAAGTCACTAAATAGTATCAAAAATATGCTTTAAAATATTATTAGTTATAGTTAAAAATTTATTGTAATATTGAATCATATCATTTTAGTCTATTTTTTTTAAATAATAAATATAATATTTGAAACTAAACTAGGTTTATAATATTCACCAGAAAACTTATTAAGACTAGTATTCCATTAACTCTCCAAAAAGTTTGAAAATCATAACTCAGAATTCTTTTCTTATTTAATGTTTTAAAATTTATTTTAAATTAGACATGATTTATCCATTAGAAATAAAATATAATATTCAAGTTCGTATTGAAAAAATACAATTACTATTTACTTAGATTTATATAAAATTAATTCATGTACATCATATCTAAGCCAAAAATATGAAAAATATTTTATCGGATATATGCGTAATATACTCGCAATTATTAAGGTTAGGTTATACATATTTTATTACACTAAACCTTAAAAACAGTTTTAGCTGATAATATTAGTTTAGATAATTATAATATAAATATTTATATTATTTTTTTTTTATAAAAACTAAATTATTGAAGTAAAGTAGAAATGAATTATTTTAATCGATGCCATAATATTGTTCATTTTTATAGATATTAATTGTATTTTATTTGACACCATAAATATTATTTTCATAAAAATCAATAATTAATGTTGAAATGTCCTATAGAAATAATAATTTATAGGTGCTGAATAAATGGGTGAGTGAATTCCATTGATTAATTTAAAATGTATTCATAAGATTTACTATATTTATAGTATGTATCATGATAAGACACGTAAATATTTAATATATTCACATATTAATAAAAAAACTAAGAAACTATAATATTCAGAATTTAAGACAAAATTTAAATATAGATAGTAAAATAACTTTTTAAAATATGCATGAAATGGGATTTTGGGACTAAAATCAAAATCAAAATTAATCATAAAATATCGGATAATAAAACATTTAGTGGTTAAAAATACACGAAATTGTAATGTAAAACATAAAATAATGAAATCTATTCTAGAGTTTATTATACTCTGTTCTGATCGAATGTAGTGGTTTAATATTAATATCAATTTTATTATTAATTTTACCCTCTTTTTTGTGAAGAGATACTGCTCTAAGTTTAAAGATTTATATAGTTACCTATACAAATCAAACAGAAACTTTAAAGAGTTGATTTAGATTTTAGAATTATTCAGTTATTTTTAAAAATGTTGGGAAACCTACCGAAAAAAAAATTGAAAATGGTAAATTTAACTTCATACCCAATTAAAACTCTTAATATTCTACTTTAAATTATTTATCTTAATGTTTCATACTTGTTTTTGTTTGTTTTACTGTGCCTTTATTATTTATCTTGATTAAAATAAAATAAAATATAACTGACAATCATTATAAGTCTATTTATAAAAATTAATATACGTTTAGATGTGGCTTACAAACTTGGAAATTTCTGAACTAATTAGTTAGGTCCTTAAAACTCAGGGAGAATTTATAGCTTCATTTTTTAACTCTTATATAGGTGGATCATACATGAATTTTATTTAGTCTAACAAAAACCGTATATTTTTTTATTTATACATATGGTTGCCATTGGCTACAAACATTCTTTAAAATAATATTTAATTTATCAAGTGTTATATCCAACCCGCCAAAGGCAGATTTCTCATCTCTCTCTCGAAGTTCACAAAATTAAGTAAACCGACCTCGATTTGACCATTAACTGAGGTGCTTTACTAAAACCTATATAACTTTTATATTGTTGCAGGTATTTTATTTTTATTTAATTTTTTTCACGCCTAAAATTTGCTTTTACAGCTAATAAGTTATAGTTTATAAAAATGCATAAATTCAGTAGAAATAATAAACTTTTACTATTAATAACAGGAAAATGTATTTTCATGTACGATTTATGAAGATACATAGATTATTATTTATTTTACGCTAGAATTAATAATATTACATTAGCTTGGTCCAAAATAAATGGAATATATAATAATGATAATATGTATACTATAATTTTACTTAATAATAAAAATATTAACTATTACAAGAAATATACTTTAAGCTGAAAAACTACATTTTATTGAATATAGTCACTGTAACACGCTAAAATTGTTTTTGTTTTTTAACACACATTTAGATTTGACAATGTGTTACAACACTAAAAACTTTTATAAACTAAGAAATGTTTATTTATTTTATTTATTAACACAATAACATCCGTATTTACTAAAATTAAAATCTAATTAGTTAATAATTTGTAAAAATATTATTAATTAGTAACTAAAACTTATTTTATAGTTTATAACATTACATTAAGAATAATATGAAACATTATATAAAATACATATTTTCGTGAGAGGTTTAATAGATTTTAAATTAATGACATTTTGAATTTACAACTACTTACACTAAATTTATGGAAAATATATTATACAGTGAATGATAATAAATGCAAATAACTTTTTTTTTTCGATTATGGTTTGCGTATAACTTAAAATATTCTTAAAAGTGAATTAAATATATTTTCCGATACATTTAAAATTGAATAATGAGAATTTAAAAAAAAAATGCATAAAATCATATAGAAAGTCTTTGAAAAATAGATAAAAATGTTGAAAGATTGAGTGAAAATACATGATATTGTTTATTGGTCATTAATCTTTGAATTTGTTTTATTTCAAAAATTAGTTTTTATTTTATGATATATCGTCACGTCATAATTAGTTTATTTCAATTATATAATAATTAACTACTTTTTGCATCACATTAATTTAATTATTGGATAAATATTAATGTTTTCTTCTAGAAAAATCATTAATAACATAATTGTAATAATTATAAGCCAAAATAAATGTAAAATACTACTTTCAGATTTTATTTTATAGATAATATAATAATTAAAAACTATACATTTTAATCATATTTATTTGGTAAATAATATAGCTCACAAGTCACAGTTAAACAGATCGTACAAATAAAAACAATTTAATTAAAGCAAAATTAAAAACAATTCATCAATAAAAATCAAACTTTAAATAATTGTGATTTATCAAAATTTAATAAAAACATAATTTAGTATTATTGTAATCTTATAAAATATATCATAAATATAAAATAGATTTTTAAATACATGATTTGGAATGTATAATATTTCTAAGTAAAGTACTGACTTTGAATTTTAAAATATTTGACTTGATCAGTTATTACTTATCAATTTTTAAGTCATTATTATTTGTTTTAATTTTTTGAGCCAAATCACGTCGAACACCCAATATTTTAATTTTTATAATATAAAAGTAACTAACTAGTAAGATAATAACGATATTAATATACTATTATATGTACGTAAATATTATTTCATATAAACGTTGATAGATAATATAATATATTTTATATAAATCATTAAATTAGTTTTACTATAATTTATACAATGTAATCCAATATTTTCACGCATCCAAAGCGGTCATTATAATAATATCCATTTGGACATTGTAGCATTTTATCCGGTAACTGTGTAGTACTTGTATGGGGAAGAGTACAGCGCTTGTGTGATATGTGAGTACACTTGGACTTTTTGCCATGGTTATTCTTTGATGTTGTATTTTCGTCTTCATTTTAACCATGATTTCAACGAAACAATATAAATATAAAAATTACATAAAAGAATATTTAATACAATTAAATTTACCTTTAGCTTTATCACCATGCTTTAAAGTATTTTCCAAATTAATTTTACCATCTGTAGTAGTCATAATATTTTTTGCGTTCACGTACGAGACATTTATGATGACTAAAACTATGAATGCCGAAATGATTGCTAATGAAAATCTCATCGTTTTGGTCGTTTGGTACGATTCAGTAAAACCACACTGATTAGATGTTTATTGAATCATTCGTCTTCGACTTATGCTACTGTTAGTCATGAACGTTGTATTTTATAAATTTTAATATTTAAATACACATAATATCATAATGCAATATAATTATCACGTTTATCATTCCCTCACTTTAATCTTCCATTTTTGTATTATCACTGGTTATATACATAATAAGAATTACTCACTGGCCACAATTACTAAAATTAATTTTGCTAATTTAAATTCATTTATTGACAATATATATCACTAATTGTTGTTGAAATTAAAAATAATAATTATATTTATGTTATCCGATATATTTAAATGTGAAATAATTTTCATTAGTCAGCCAACTAGTCATCATTTATAGTGACGTGATTGCATTTAAAAGGCTATATTAATTTAACGTTATAATGATTCACAATATTGAAAAAAATTTATTTGAATAAGTCAATTATTCATAGTTATACAGGAGATGATATTAAAAATTTTTTTTTTGTTTTAGAAAAATCAAAAGATAGACTATAAAATGTGAAACACATTTAGGATTCATTTTTTGTATACGTTATATTATCTTATCTATTAATATTGTTTTGTGAATTAACTCGTTGCTTAGCTATAATAAAATCATTTTTATCACTATGTGTTCAGAGGTCAAGCATTGGCTGGCGTCGCTAGCTCTTGGATGGGTGACCACACGAGTTTTTAGTGACGAATCCATAGCATACACACATACACCCACGTGTTCCAATCCTATTATTTAAACTTCACAAAAAATATCTACTGTTCCTATGCACAGCTAGTGGCTTTAGTTGCCGGATTTAACTAAGATTAATAAAAAAAAAAAAAAAAAAAATCACTTTTAATAAACCATAATATAATAAGAAAAAAATATTATGTATTGTCAAGTTATATGTCCATATAATTATCCCTTAAATATAAAATTCATTTGACGACTCTAAAGACAGTGATAGGAACTACTGATGATAAAATTATAACAGATGAAAATAGAAAATTAAAAAATGATAAAAGATTTTTCCATAATATAAATATATAATATTATATATGTATGTGACTGATCACTATAGGCGTACTATTATAGCTTTAAAATGAAAGCAAATGTGGTTTACAGTGGTACGACTTAATGTGGCTTGACATTTTACAAAGATTTAATTTATAAACTAAAAATGTCCAAAATCGACTTAAATTCTTAATATTCGCCTTAAAACCGTCCATTTGATGTTTTCAAATCGTTATACAAACAACTTACGAAAAAACTTGTGTTACATTAAAAATACTTAAGGTTTTTATTCTGAGGCAAGAGGATCTAAATAGGTATACTATATATATTTTTTAAAACTACACATTGTAACTAGTCGTTTTTTGAAAACTATATACTGTTACTGGTTAGTTGTAGTATCGAATAGAATTTGAAATATTTAATAATTTAAAATTCAATTCTTCCAATAACTCGCACTTAAGTTGTTATACCGCCATTTAATTTAGGATTTATGGGCACTAATTAATTTCATGACACATTCAAATTACACCAATAATAGCGATAAGGGTTAGCACTCCCGAGAATACCAATAAATGTGAAAAATCCAAAAATGTTTTTGCTTTTATTTAATATTATTATAAATAAACACATTTTATGTATATATTTTTTACACAAGTAAAATTGTTGTTTATATTATCTTGTATATTATTATTGTAATTAAAAAATAATTTATTATAAAATTCTATACTATTGTAAGATATAATAGTAACTATCAAATTATTGATCATTGAGTACCTACAGTTTATTTTTTAACGGAAAAAAGTAATATTTTAAATTCTGGCAAAAGTGGAAAACTTATAAAAAAAAAATAAAATAATGAATGGTCAAACAAAATAATACTTACATAGTTACATGATTATTTATTGTTACCATAATACTAAGGACGCTAACAAAAGGATATTTACAATATAACTTCATCTAGCGTGAGGTTGTCATATTTTATTCAACTTGAACCGGGACAAACTTTTCTTGAGAAGAAATTTTAACCATTCTCCAAGGTCAAATTCTAATTTTAATTTTATCTAACCTAACCTAATTTTTTGTAACTGGAATCTAGAAGTAGAATACAACATATAATGGACGGCACAAACTATATGGAATATTTTTTATAAAGTAAAAAATAATTTAATTTTACAAATCCAAATGAGTAACCGAAAAAATAATCAATTAGTGATAAGTGCAGCTCACAAAAATTTTGGTTTAAAACAGGGAAAATATTAACGCATATTCGTTAATAACAGTTATTGTTGAATTTATCAATAATGATAAATATTTATTGATGACATTTTTTAAAAAATATTTTGCCGTTCAATATAATAATCAAATCGATTATCTTAGCTTTTATCAAGACAATATTTTTTCTTATATAATTTTTTATTAGAATATAATATTTTAACATACATTGTTATTGAAGTTTAATTAAAATTAGCCGTTCAAAAATACTTTATCGGAAAACCGTAACGATTAATTCAAAACCGTTATCAACCCAGAAAATCGGGAAGTATGAAAGTCATAGTGACCAGTTCTCCATTAATTTCATATATTTTCCATACTTAGTTAAGTGAGAATAATATAGATAATTACGGCTCAATGAAAATTTAACGAATTTTTTGCTCATCAACACGCGACATCCTTTTATAGTGGAACGGGTCGATTCAATAACATGGTGTCGTTTAGTCTGTTTAGATACCAATTAACCATGAATGACGCATGCAGTCATACATTTTATCTCAAGTTTGGATGTCGACCACCCTTACTCTACGTTTCCATATTATATTATTTAATAGTTTGAATGTTAAATTAAATTAATTTTTAAAAATAAGTTTAACCAGTTAAAAAGGTTTATATAAATATCTTAATGTTCGATTATAATATTTTTTTGTTTTTTTGTGCTGGAATTAATTTTCTGTCTACAAAACAAATGTATTGTACCTAATATATCATAAAAATAACTTATAATATTTAATACTTTTTCTTCTTCTTTGCTCCTAAAACATTGTGAGCAATAATTATTTATTTTTAGAACATGTATGTTTGTCATATTTTTCAATATTCAATTCATTGAATATATAAAACAAAATTTTCGAATAAACCCACACTTAAATAATTGGATATTTTACTATTTATGTTTTGTTTTGATTTAAACGTCATAGGTTTGATATTGTGTTACAAAGTAAATATATTGGTTTGAACAATATAGTTAAGTGTCAAAAGGCGACTAGTATAAGCGTCTTTAAAAAAAAAATACGTTGAATGGTACATAAAACAAATTTCAACACGTACGGAAAACAAAAGTAAGTACAGTTATAAACAAATATGCACAAAATAAAAAACCATTATTTTATTTCCTGTGGCTCGTTCTTACAAAGGGGAAACACATAAAAAAAAAAAGTTACAACGTCAAAAATATATTACTGAATTTATAAAATGGGAGTTCGCAAGTCAGTTAGATTCTTTTGTAAGTGTCAAGTACTATTTTGAAAGAAATATATTGTAAAATATTTGTAAAATAATAGTTCGATATTGAATATTAATGAAATTTCTTCATGGAAACTATTGTTAGTGGTTATTTGAATATCTTTCTGAATAAAATAGTCAATATTTTTTTTTTATTATTAAAGGTACCCGTTATCCGTTGATTTTTTAATGGTTAGCTCTAGTACTTGTTTCATACTTGATTTTGAATACCAAATATTATCATAAAAAGCTGTTCTGACAAAGTTTAAATGTTCTAACAGAGTTTATTGCAATTTGGGTTCAAATCAAAAAAAAAAAAAAAATATATTTTTAATTCACACACTTTTTCTTTACACATCTTTATATGAATATTATTTATTAATTTTTATTTTTATACTAAGAAAATCAAATTTCTATGAACAATATTAATAGTATATTATACAAATTACTTAATAAGTTTACCCCTTTAAGCATGCTTGTGGTGAGGTGGATGAATTATTATTTAAAATCTTAGAATTAAAATATATGAAACAAAATATTCATTTTGAGATTTCAATATGAAAAATATAACGTAACGTAATTTCAACAGTAACGTTCATGTATCTTATCTTTTGTTTCTTTCATAATATTTCTAATAAATATTTTAAGACGTTTTTCTTATTATATAAATGAATGTCTTAGGCTTACATTATCAAAAATATTTTTTCTGGTGTTCAAAGACATTTTATTAAAAAAAATCTAAATCTAAGTAATCCATTATTGATGGAGTAATATTGATTTCTATATTATAAATAATTATACCAGTCTACGATGATTCTGTATAAAATGTAAATTGATGATAATAATGAGCATTAAGATTACAAATATATTGTTTTAAAGACCTTCAAAGTTTATCATATGCATAATTTGTGGTAGATCTATAAATATTATATTTTCATAGAATTCTATTATATTGTATGCTGTATAATGTTCATTTATTATAATATGAAGTTTTTAAACAATGTCTATATACGTAATATTTTGTAATTAATGACTTACCTTTTAACTCTTGTTATGGAAAATGATCAGTTTTCAATTACGTTTATTTTTTTATTTTTTTATTGTTATTAGATGCTTCAAATAATGATTATATTAGTAATGTTCATCATATTTGTGAATATGTATATACCATTAAATTAAAATCTCTGAATTTGTATACATAAACTTACACTTATTTAATTTAAATTAATCGTTCTTAATTTTATAAAGAGTGCATACTTAAAAAAATACGACTAGTAGTATTAATAACTGTAATAGTCATTCGAAAATTTATGTAAAATATTTTTAAATAAAAAGTATTCACACTTCAATAAGATTTGTAATTTGTACATTGATTTTTAAGCATAATTCATTCCCTTTAACATCCCCATAATATAGTAGTAATAGTATTTCAGATTACTAAAATAAATGCTGTGATTTCCTTCTAATTACTGTTTGCATCGATACATTGCTTAAAAACTGCATACGATTTTTTTTTTAAGTTTAAATGAATGAGAAATCAAAAATA